GAGCCCCGCCCCTGGGCATGTGGCTGGGGGTCTGCCCCCGGGCGGGCAAGTGTCCCCGCCCCCTGGCGCCCAGCGGGCGAACGGCCACGCCCCCGGCGCCCGACAACCTGAAAAGTTTGGGGACCACTGGCCTAGGATCACCTGTGATGGACCAGAGCTCATTAAGATAGGCACTATACAAACACAGCATGGCAGACTGTGTCTCTGCTCCAGAGGCTGGTAGGTTATTTCAGACAATAACATGCATGAATGCCTTTTTTTTGCTTTCCTAGATGTCAAATTTGAATTAGGAAATGTTTCTCTCATATTAGCAGAAGATTTTAAGGGACTCCCTTCTGAAATAGTGGACAAAGTTGGGATGGGTAAGGGATGTGACTGGAATTTATCAAATAAATTCTTAGTTGTGGAAATTCCTTTCCTAAACAGAATTTTATCATGAGACTAATCTATTCATATGGGGAAAAGTTGGCTCTGGCAATTGCATGTTATAAGGAGGGAGCTAGGAGCTTTTTCCTGTCTCTCCTACTCATCATGCACACCCACAGAGACTGTGCTCTCCTAGCAGCTTAAGAGCGCAAATCAGAGAGAAGAGGCTGGCCATATACATGCGGACCACAATATCTTAAGGAGAGAGGGAAAAAAATTGTGCCCTTGAAGATACAGAACTTCCACTGATGTGGTGCTTGTTCACCCAGCCCCAGCTGTGGCTCTGATTGTTGATGACATAATCTGGTGCATGGTTCTTACTTAGCAGACTACTGCAGTTTGTCTGTGATAGAGTGCCTCTTCTCTACCTCTGCTGTGGTTTTCTTGCTACTCATTTCATTTATAATCTGCATTTCAAACAGAAGTTCATCTGTGGAACAGAAGTTAAATCTGTGGATTTAGTATGCCATGTGTTATGATAATGTTTGAATTTGCATTAGTAGTCACAGTAAACGTTGGGTAAGGTTAATCAGAAACCTCTCCTTTTTAAGCTGTTTGTGATTAAGGTGGTTTTACTCCTATTTCTCCCCTAACTTTTAAATAGGATTATTCTAGGAGGGGGTGGGTGAGATTGTGGCCTGCATTGTGCAGGGGATCAGACTAGATGATCATAATGGTCCCTTCTGACCTTAAAGTCTATGAAATATTTCCTCTTGAGCCTAATTGTTATAACTCCAGGTCCCACACCGTGTTTGTGACGGCCTTCCTTTTGTAGTATACTTAGTAAAAGAATTCATGTTTATGCATAAGCTTTTGATAATTTTCAATTCCATCCCCATCCAGGAATACAAATGGAGCATAAATAACATTTCGGTCATGTTTATATATTAGTTTAATGCATGTGTATCTTTGTACTCAACAGGTCAAGTCCATTTTATCCACACAGATATAAACCCAGAGTAACTGGGTTAGAAGAGTTGATCTGCATTTTTGCTGGCATCACTAAGTGCAGAATTTGTGCCAAAGACTTCTAAATGCCCACCGATCATTCAACTATGTGTATTTTGGCTATGTCTACACTAGGAGCCATGGGAATCCCATCCTTATCTCCAAGTGTAAACATAGACTTCCATATAATTCAGTGCTAGTAATTGTATGTAAATATGAATTAACACATTTGCATTCTCAAACCATTAGAACGTTTCAACAATATGACTACTAATATTAACAAAACAAGGAAATACTTTAACAGACTTGTCTAATTAGCTTCCATGAAATGTTCTGCTCAGCAAAATCTCTAACAGGTTAAGCTTGTATGTAAGTCTTTGTAGGAGCTGTATGTAAAAGTGTATGAGGGTTTAGAATCTGGTAAAGTTGAAAGAACCTCTGATAATAGCAGTGTTGGATGGGTTGAATGACAAACAAATCAATTTTCTTGCCCTTCCCTACTTTCTACATAGTAGCTAACATGAAAATATGTTCACAGTCAGCAAGTATGTCTATTTCTATGAGTTTGTTTGCCTTTTAATTTTAAACACAGGGATTTTTAGTGAGTATTTGAGGCTATTTAAAATAACTGAGAATTTTCAGTTTTTTCTATGAGCCTTAACATCTTATAAATTGAGATGTGATGTTAATAGAACAGCGGTTCAAACACTAATAGAATTACACTGAGGGTTTATAGAGAAAAAATGAGCTGTAGATATAGAGAAAAAGATACAGGCAGAATCTTTGAAATGTAAAATGTATTCATAATGCAGACACCAGCTATATCTATCCATTTCTGTAATTCCCATTTCCCTTGGAAATATGAAATGGAATTCATTAGCGGGCTGTGCTATAAGGAAACCTGATTTTCTTTTATGTGTTTTTTCCTGATACTAGGAAACAACAAAACAAACCCAGATAAACAAACACAGTGATAGCTGTGGGCAGAGAAACAAAGTTCTTTCAAATATTTAGAAATGAGTTTCTTCTTCTACA